CAATGTTAAAACAAACAGCAAAGGTGACAGAGGACATCCCTGTCTAGTACCTTTTTCTATTTAAAAACCTCTGACAAACCCCCATTAACAATAAGTTGTGCCGTTTGCTTTTGATATATAGCAGTAAAAGCTTGTAATATTTTCTCTCCAAAATTCATCTCCTCAATTGCTCTTAACATAAAATGCCAGTTCAATTGATCAAAAGCTTTTTCAGCATCTAAAAATATCAGCCCTGCAGGGACTTGGTTGTTCTTATCTAAATATTCTAATATGTTGATAATTTGTCTAGCATTATTTTTCATGTACCTGCCAGTTATAAAACCCGATTGATCCTTATGTATAAGCTGATGCACAACCTTCATAAGCCTATTAGCTAAAATTTTTGCAAAAATCTTATAATCTACATTTAAAAGAGTTATAGGTCTATAATTCCTTGGTAAAGTAAGATCTTGATCCTCTTTTGGAATCAAGGATATAAAAGCACTGCGCCATGATGGAGGGATCTCTGCACCCTGCAATATATTATTAAAAAGCTCAACTAGAGGTTGAGTCATCTCTTCAACTAAAGTTTTATAATAAATAGATGTCAAGCCATTCGTACCTGGCGCTTTACCTAATTTTAATTGCTTAATAACCGTCACAATCTCCTCATTGGTAATTAGACCATTAATTTCTTGCTTCTGATCTTCTGTCAATTTAGGAAAGTTAGCCTCACTTAAATATTTATTTATGTCTGAAATTTGTACATTAGTAGTCTTATATAATTTTTGATAGTAGTCTAGAAAAGATTTCTTAATCAGTTCCTTCTGATACACTATAATTTACCATTATAATTTATTTTATCTATTATTCTCTGTCTCTGTTTCTTTCTTAATTGATAAGCCAACCATCTCCCTGGTTTATTGGCATTACAAAATGTATCTTGTTTCATAAACAAAAGATTAGTTGCAGATTGATCAGCCATCAACATATTAAATTGTGCTCTTAAAAGCTTTATAGATTCCTTAATCTTTTCATCTGAAGGATTTAAAATCAAAAACTTTTCTTTTAATTTAATATCCTCTTCCAATTCCTTACGCTTCTGAATCTGCTTTTGTCTATGAACGTTATTCATTTTTATCAAAATTCCACGCATAAAAGCTTTACCTGCATCCCATACCATTGATGTTGATGTCCCCTTATGCATATTCAAAACAAAATAATCCTTTAAACAGTCCTTTAACTTTTGAACATTCTTTTCTTGTCTAAATAAGTTCTCATTCACCCTCCAGGATCTCCTCTCCTCTTTTTCATGAATCAACTCCATCCAAACCGGACTATGATCCGTCAATATCCTAGGAAAAATTTTTACATTCTTTACCCTATTATATAAGTCAGTTGTAATTAAAAAAAATCAATTCTTGAAAGAGATTGATGTCTATCTGAAAAAAAGGTAAAGTCTCTCTCCTCTTGATTACGTTCACGCCAGTAGTCTCTCAATTCCCAGTCCTCTTTCAGATCAAAAAAAGCTTTAGGTAATTTAGCCTGTTTAAAAAGGGTAGAAGAACCTTTTTTGTCCCTTTGTGTATCTAAAACACCATTCCAGTCCCCCATTAATATAACGGATCTATAGTCCAGCGAAATTATTTTCTGATGTAACAGTTTATAAAATTGTTCTTGTTGCTGGTTTGGTGCATACAGTCCCACAAGAAGTATTTTCTTACCATATAAACCAAGTTCAACCATTACATATCTTCCTTGGGGATCTGATTCTACCAGACAAACTGGTAAATTTTGCTTAACGTAAATAACCACTCCCCCTTTTTTCCCAGGGCCAGGAGATACAAAGTGTGAGCCCAAACGACAATTAACTAAATATTTTTGATCTTTAAGTAAAATATGAGTTTCTTGCAAGCAGATGATATCATTGTTATGTTGTTTTAAGTAGTGAAAGATTTTCTTTCTTTTCTGAGGGGAGTTAAGGCCGTTAACATTCCAGGTCAGGAACTTTGCCATCTCCCTTGACCAGGAGCCTGGAGAAGACTGCCTGAAGGTCTGCCATTGATGAATATGTTGCAGAACTCTTGGGTCTTGCTCCTCCCACCGGCAATGAAGCACTTTCATAAGTAGATTCTTTAACTTCTTTCTTCTGTTGTTCCTTCTCTTTACGCTATGTGCTGCACGGGTCATCCTTTGCTCTTTAATCTCTGTTTGACGTTGCCATTCCACTTGTGACTTCCCAGCAGGAATCAGACCTAGCCCTCCAGATTGCTGTTCCACCTCTTTGCCACCCAAAGATTTCTGAATCATAGGTAAAGATGAGCCTGCTCCCAGGACCGTATTATAAAACTCCTTAGCTTTGGCAACCGTGTTAAGCCTATAACGCATCCCCGCATGGCTCAAAACAATACCCATAGGAATCTCCCATCTGAATGACATCGATCTTGCTTTGAGTTCATTAGCTAAAAAAGCAAAGTCTTTCCTGTTTCTTAAAATTTGGGATGGAATTTCCTTTAAGATAATGACATCTTGGGCGGCAATCTGAAATCTCTTATTATAATAAGCTTGTAAGATTTCATTACGCAGAGACCTCTTAGAAAAATAAATCACCACATCTCTTGGCAAATTCTTTTGTTTCGCAATCCAAGAATTGACTCTGTAGACTTTTTCCACTTCTCTGCGTAATTCATCTTTATCCATATTCAAAACAAGAGCTAGATCATTAAGCACCATCTGTGTCAGGTCTTGATTCAAATCTTCTTTCAAGCCCCCGATTCTCAAGGCATACTCCATTTCCCTATACTGGGACATGAGAATATCCTCTTGTGAAGTTTCCACCTTTCTTTCCACATCCTGAAATTTATCTTCAATAAAATCAACTTTATCAGCGACCTCCTCCACTCTGGAATCCAATTTCACGACCACTGAAGCCAGGCCTGACAAAGCTGTTACTATGTCTTGTCTCAAAATGGTGTTATTATCTTCTAACAGCTGCTTCATCTCCTCTTTACTTTCAGTTTTATTCTGCTTAAGGAGGTCTCTCATCTCCTCCTTAGTTTCAGGTTTAATCTGTTTAAGAAGGTCCTTCATTTCCTCTCTGCTTTCAGATTTACTCTGTTCAAGAAGTTGCTTCATTTCATCTCTAATTTGGGATACAGCATTTCCCATTATATCTTTAATCTCTTGTGCAGATGAACCTGGCAAAGGAGGAGAGGGTGGAAGCAATACTGATGGTGTAGGTTTAAGTTGTTGTTGTACAGTTAAAGTTGTAGGAGAGGAAACCACCTTAGAAAGTATAGAGGCCGGTTGCCTCTTTGAAGCCATTTTTCAAAGTGTTCTTCTCTCTCTCTTTCCTCTTAAAAGGAAAGAGGAGACAAAAAAAGGAAAAAAAAAATACTAAAATTCTTAAAGTTTTAAAAAAAGCCAAGAAAAGTATCCAAAATGCAATCAAAAGATGAAGGAGAAAATTAGAAGCAGTAAATATATTCATTTAAGTCCATATTGTCTTTCCAGGGAAAAAAAAAATAAAGAACAAAGTACTTTCAAAACGCCATCTTACTTTCACTTTCCATACCAGCAAAAAAGAAACAAAAAAAAATCAGAGTCAACTAAAAAGAAAAATTTAAAATAAAATACTAAACTAAAAAGAAATCCTTTAAACTGCTCTGTCCGCTTTAAAAATTACTGACCAGAACACTTTAAGCGCGGAGCTGGTAGCGGCGTTTCCTTTGGTCTCCGAAGAGGCAAAAACAGCTGGGAGGCGGAGAAAGCAGGAACTCCGAGGGAACGCTCTTTCCGTCCCCTCAAAAGAAAAATCCAGAGGGGGCTAAGAGGTTCTACCTCTATTCTTGCAATCTCTGCCCCTTCCCTTCGCCCGGGAAGGGGATTCTGAGCCGCGGGCCAGCTGATTTTCACTGCACACCGCGGATCTAACGCCGTCCCAGGAGGACGGCTACAAGGTAGCCGCCATCAACGTCGCTCCCCGGCGGAAGCTCTCTAGATATACATATTTTAAGAGGAGGATCAAATCCCTTTTAGTGGGAAGCGGCAAATCTTTCCCATTGTTTTTCAAAACAATTATTGATGACTTGGTCAATTCCCTAAGTTCTGGGAGGTGCGCAACCTGAGGCTTAGAGAATCCTGTCCCCATACTCACGGTAATGTTTTGGGAGGGTGCTTCGTCTAGCTCTGACGACCGGCCCTGAGTTGCAGTAAGCTCTTCCGCTGAGTGAGTAAGAGGGTACCAAGAGACGTAATATTTTGGGAGGGTGCTTCGTCTATCCTGACGACCGGCCCTGAGTTGCAGTACCAAGAGACGTGCTCAGAAACTTGAATCACGTCGGGGTCACCAGTTGTGGGTTTTCTCGCGCCCAGCGGTCTCCCATGGGTGTTGAAGAACAGACACGTACACGTGGTTTCCTCGGGATGGGAGCCTCAAACAAAGCCGAAGCATCCCTTTTATTGTGTTATCAGAAGGCGGGTTTATATGCACCTGGTGACCACCTTATACCAACCACATTTGTTATGACACAGCATATTAGCATATTACATGTGCTAGCTTTGTTTTGCACACGCTACTATACAGCTGTTACACCTGGCACCAACAAAAGACCAAAACACATTCCTTTGCACCGCACGGCACGTTGTTTACTCCAATCTTTTTTACTTCCGACTTCATACCTTGGCCTACTGCAGCTGATGACTCAGCCTAACAGGCCAGATAACCCAATAACTCCAACAGGGAGGGGCCCCGGACGTGGCTGGGAGGGGGGGCTGGCAGCAGGGTGAGAGGCGGCCTGGTGGCGGAAGGCCCAGAGGGTTCCTGCTGAAGCCGTCAAGCGGTGGCGGACGGGGTCCCCAGCTGAAGTCAGCCATCAAGGAACTCCTCTGAAAGTGGCACGGGGGGGGAGGAGGATTGTGGCCAGGAGGTCCCCTCATTTCGCAGCCTGAGCTGCTGGTGCCTCGTCCTACGCAGGATTGGGAGGAGGCAGCCCTTAGGCCCGATTCCCCTCCCCTTGCAGGGACATCCACCGGTTCGGTCCTCGTCTTTGACGTCCCCTCCAAAGGCACCAACATCACATTGAGCGAAGTCCTTGAGCAGCACAGCAGCCCCATCACGGACATTGGCGCAGAGCTCTGTGAGCAGCCGGTAAGGCCGGAGGGGGCCAGTCTGAGCCCCCCTCCGACTCCCTCTGGGCTGCCTCCTCCGCTCCTGGTCATCTTTAAGCTGCCCGGGGGAAGCAGCACCCAGCCCTTTGGCCCTCCCGCGTGGCTGTCTGGGTTTCCCTGATCGCGAGGCAGCCATTCAGGCCAGCCTTCGAAAGGCCACAGGCGACAGACGGCAGCCCTGTCTCTCCCGTTGCAGGAGGGAGCTGCAGATCTGGTGACGGCAGACGACTCTGGAGCGTTGTGCGTTTGGGGGTCTGGAGAGACATTCAGGCTGATCACCAAAATTCCAGCTTCTGAGTACGGGCCGGTGGGGGAGAAGGGGACCCGAGGCAAAAGAGTGGGGGGCAGATGGAAGTTTTGCACAGCAAGAAGGCCCGGCTGCTATGTGGAACTCAGGGTGGCTGCTCGGAGCAGCGGGTGGGAGGCGAGACCCTCCTCACAACGGAACAGGTCCTGGGCTGCAAGAGCGAGGCAGCCATGTCCCTCCTGCTGCTGGTTTTGCTCAGTGGGGTGCTTAAGGGCGTGGGGCGCTGGCCTCCCTGCAGCAGGAGGTGCTCAGCCTCTGAGCTCCAGCACCCAGCCAGCAGGGTCTGATTCCTCCCCTTCACACCCAGCTGCACCTGCTCCTCGGTGAAGCTGTGGAACGGGGTCGTGGCTGCCGGCTACGGGGACGGGCAGATTCGTTTGTTCGAAGCGGCACGTGGGACCCTGAGAGCCCAAGTCAGCGCTCACGCACGCTGGATCTACGCCCTGGACCTGGCCCCGCTCTCAGGGAAGGTGAGCCCAGCGCCATGGGGGAGGGGCAGCCAGAGTTTGGCAAAAGGCCTCCATGGGGCACGGGTCAGGTTCCCTGGTTCTGGATGCCAACCTTTGACATGTGAGCACGCCTAAGCTGCAACATGCGCAGACCTAGGCTCTTTGGCGCAGGTGGCAGGCAGGCTCTGCAGAGCTGGTGGAGGTGCCCCCCCTTCCCGTGGGTAAAAGATTATGAGCAGGTCACCACAATCACAACCTGCCTGAAGGAATGGGGGGCACCCAGCTAGAACCCCCCCCCCAGGCAGCTTTGGCATTCTCCTGGGTCACCTTCTGTGGGAAGGGTCTCCAGTCCAGGCCTGCTGTCCCGGAGATTCCCCCCCCCCCCAGGCCTCGTCTTCTCTGTCTCCTGCCCAGCTGCTGTCTGCAGCCGAGGACTCCTTCGTGCGAGTCTGGGGACTGAGCCTCAGTGCGGACACAGACAGCATTGAGGTGAGCCCAAGGGCTGCTCGGTTGAGGGGGTGGGAGACACCCGTCTTTCCAGAGCTTCACTCTGGATTCCTAGGCTCTTTTTGGGAGGGGGCAGGAATGCCTGAAAGGGACCCACCAATTTCCCTGCAGTTTGAGCATTGCCACACGGAGTGTGTGACCGACACGCAGATTTGTGGCGCCCGCTTCTGCAATCTGGAAGGCACCACCTTTGCTGTCACGGGCTTTGAGCTGAGCGAGATCATCCTCTACCACCAGGTGTAGCCCTTCGGGTTGCAGGTAGTCGCTGGATGCAGAGGAAGGACTGGCATGACGATGCCAGCTTGGGCAGGGCAGCACACAAAGGGAGCTCTTCCCCCTCCTCCCCAAAAGGCCGTTTATTTTTTTGGCCCAAGCAGGCGTCCCCTGGGATTTGGCGTCTCCTTTGGCCCAGTAGCTCAGGCTGCCCCCTCCACCCTGCCCGCAGCAGAGCTGAAGCAGGGAGCCCTGGCCTGTCTCTGCTAGGCAGAGAGCAGAGCTGGCTGGCGCATTGTTTCCAAGGCCTCCGCTCTGCTCTGCGGGAAGGGGACTGTCTCGCAGCCCCAGGGAAGAGGGATGGCTTGGCTGGGCCCTGCAGCAGAGCAGCCCCTGGCCAGAAAGTTCTCCCGCCCTGCCCGGGTTTGTTTAGACTCCAAAGGCTTCAGCACAACCCCGACTGCTTTTTAGTGTTTCAGAGCCAGCAGCTAAATTGTCTGTTTTCCTGATGAATAAAATATAGTTGTTTGGCTAACAAGGAAGAAAGGCTGGTGCCCTTGCCTTTTTTTCAAGCGATTTCCCCCATGCAGCAGGAGATGGGGGTGCCTGCAGAGCTGACCCCCTCCTGATCCTTCTGGTTGCCAGTCAGGAAGGTGCCCCACCCCAAATCACCATCCTGCCCGTAGTTGTGGGGCGGGGCGCAAGGCGAGCAGCAGGAATACAGTTAAGGGGGCTCATTTGCCCCGGGCCCCAAAATTATAGGACCAAGCACTGTGCCCCCACTCCTACATGTCCTCTACAGGCCAGGGAGATCCCCCCACCCCCCGGAAAGGGATTGGCAGACTCCAGGATGCACAATACAAAAGGCTCTTTATTAAAGATTCCAAACGGCTCAACAGCAAAGTGTATAAGAAACGGGGGCTAGCCCAGCTCACAGTGGTTATGCAGATGCACGCAGGCCACAAGGGGCCTGGGGCATCAAAGCCCTTCGGTCCGGGGTGGGGAAGGTCACACCGGCCCACCCCCAGATCAGTTTGTGCTTGGTTGACATCTTGAGAAAAAAACGGAACAGGTAGAAAAAAGTGAAAAAGGTTTAAAAACTGCAGCTCTGCAGCCCCCCCCCTTTTTTTTGCTAAGGTTATTGGCAGCAATTTCCCTTAATGCACCAGATGGCACCAAGGAAGAGCGGGCACTCCCACCCCTTTGCCCCACCCCAAGGAAAGGCCAGCTCTGGGCAGCAGCTGCCTGGTGTCCCAGGAGCAGCCACAGCGCCTCTCTGCACTGCCCCCCCCATGGGAAGGGAAGAGGGAGCCCTTTCTACGGCTAGTGGCTCCCCAACTAGGGGGCTCTGGCTCCTCCACTCATGCACCCACCCGGCCTCCCCCAAATCCCCCTATTGATCCCCTTCCACGGCACATAATCACACCACAACCCCCCTCCCTTTTCCTCCATCACCTGCACGGTCACTTTCCCCCCTCCCGCCCCCCCAGAATACTGCCAAGGTCAGAGGTAGCAACCAGTGCTGGGCCCCTCCCCCCCCAGTGAAGGCATGGCAAGAGGCACAGAGCCGGGGATGGAGAGGCAGCCGGTTGACAAGGCAGAAGCGCCCCTCCCCAGCAAAGGCACCAGCAGCAGGGCGGGGCCCCTCCCTCCCGGTGGGCGGGGCCTTGCTCAGGAGACGGGGCTGGGCCGGTGGGGGCGCCAGAAGCACCACTTGCTGCGCGGATGCTGCTTGCGGAGGGCCTCCTCCTCCTGCGCCCGCTCCTTCTGCATGCGCAGGTAGCGGTCCTCCTCCTTCAGGTACCAGACGGGGGGCCAGCGGTGGGTCTCAAAGTGGGCCCTGTTCTCTGGGGAGAAGCCAGGAACGGCTGGCATCAGCTGAAAGGCAGGCCCTGGGGAAGGGAGGGGGCCACCCTGAGGGGAACCCCACCCCCCCACCTCAATTCCTTCCTGGTGTGTTGAAGCGTGTGAGCAGCAACCGGCCCAGGAGCCGTGCTCGGTCACGGGGCTTACCGGGAGACAGGGCCTTCATCTCGCGCGGGAACCGGCGGCAGACCTGGTTGTAGTTGGTGCAGATGTAGTGGAGGCACCAGGCGGCCAGCTGGAGGGCTTGATGGAACTGCGGGGAGGAGCAGGGTCAGGCCACTCCGTCCCTGGGGCCCCCTCCCTGCCTGGGGAGGGGGGGAATCTGGCACAGGCTGCCCCCAAGCCCCCTTTCGGCCTGGTGATAAAGGCCTCAGGCGAGACATTGGGAGACGGTGAAGAGTTCTAGTCCCACTCGGGCACAAAACCCGGTTTGGGGACCTGGGGCTAGTCGCTCTCTCTAAGCCCAGCCCACCTCACAGGGCGGTTGTGAGAAGAGGAGGAGGAAGGCGTATTAACTTTGTTTGCCACCCTGAATTATAAAAATAGTAAAGGTGGGTTTAAAAAAATCTAAACTTGCAGGAGCCTCTCCTCCGCTCAGGTTCCCTGAGGGCCGGGGCCAAGGCGGTTGCACCGTACCTGTGTCATTTCCAGGTAGAGGATCACCTGGGCATCGATTTCCACCTGCTGAAGGCTGGCATGCATCAGCTCATCCACTGCGTGCTGCTCTGGGAAGAAAAGGAGGGAACGGCACTCGGGACGAAGCACTCTTTCTCGCTGCCCCCCCGGAACGCCCGCTTCCCGGGCCCCGCTTGGCTGCTGCTCTGTGCCGCCCTCAGTGCCCAGAAGCGCTACGTTGCCGCGGAGGGAAGCCCCAAAGAGACTCACCGGTCAGGGCCTGCAGGCGGGTCAGGCAAAGCCGGTTGGTGAGCACCAGCAGCTCCATGGCGTCCAGGTCTGGGCTGGGGACAAAGAGGCCCGTGTACAGGAACTCCAGCACAGCCCGCAGGCAGGCACAGTTGGTGCCTGGCAGGGAGACCTGGGGGTGGGAGAGAGGGCGCTCAGGGAAGCCTCTAACCCGCTTCGGCCCACCCTTCGCCTCCAGCAGCTGCTCCAGGCAATTTGGGAGGAATTCGAAGCACAAAACTGCAACTTCCATGATCACCAGCAAGCAAGGGAGGGGAGGGCAGTGCTGAAGAAAGAGGAAGCCGGCAGGCTGGGGGGGGGGAGAGGTTGGCCTTGGTGGCAGATGGAGCCCCCCCTGATCTTTTTTTGAAGAGGTCCGATACGGTGGAGCTTGCTGTCCGCTCAGAAACCAGGGGAAGCAAAAGCCACCCCAACTGGGCACCCCCCCCCCAGCAGCCCAGGCTGCCCACTGCACCACAGCCATGGCGTTGTCCCCTGCACAAGCCTGCCCCCACTTATAAGGTGGCAGCAGGGCTGCCCGCCTCACCTCAGCAGCACAGCTCTCCCGGAAGGTGCCCCCAAACATGGCCACCATGAAGTCGCAGCCTGCCAGGAGGAGGGGCTTATGTGCTGGCATGGAGCCATCATCAACCAGGAACACCACATCTGCCAGGGGGGAGGCGGGGGGAGTCAGTCCTGGGCATCGGGCGGCTGACCGGGGCTGCCCTCTGGCCTCCCTCCTCTCAGCTACCTGCAAAGGAGCCTTTGCTCAGGCATTCCCTGATCCGGTTGGCCCGCCGCACGTGGAAGGCCTTGGTGATCTCGTGGTTCATGAAGCTCTCCTTGTTCAGGATGTTGGCGACCATCATGCGCAAGTCGAACACCTCCAGCAGCTCGGCAATGGCAGCCACCTGCATGAGGCTGGCCTGGGGTGGATCCAGGCGCCCGGTGTACAGGTACTCCAGCACCACCTGGAAAGGGCCCAGCTGCACTGGCTCATCCAGGTACACGGCTGTCATCGGCTTCTCTTGCTGCGTGACCGGGTCCTGCACCCGCTCCTGCCGCACCTCAACGATGCCCCGGCCCCAGCCAGAAACCGGGCCGGGCATCCAAGCTGCGCACAGGGGCTCATCACTCTGAGAGGGCCGCAGCGGCACGGCCCGCGTGGCTGTGGTCGGGTATCTCTGGTCTGCTGTGTCCAAGCTCTTCGTCCGGCTGGCTGGCTCCTTTCCGCCAGCCGGCCCATCCCCCAAGTCCCCCGCAAAGAGGTCGTAGAACCGGGAGCAGGCCGTGGCCAGGTAGACCCTGTGCGCAAAGAGCTGGTGGCCTCCTGCCAGGCGGAAGACCACATCGGCGCAAAGGGGCTCCTGGAAGAGTGAGCTGGGCCCCCGCCCCTCCCCAGCAGCTGGCTCAGGGATGTGGATGATGGGTGGGGGAGGCTTGGGAGGCAGGAAGGGGGCTTGCAGCAGTGGGTGCTGCATCTTCTTCAGGTGAGACTTCCAGAACTGGAGGTGACGACGGGAGATGAGGGCGGCCCGAATTGCGTTGTCGAAGACATCCTTGATGCCAAATTGGGCCACGATGCTCGTCTCGTAGTACGGGATGCCCAGCTCCTTGGCTACCTCGTGCCCGCACTCAGGGGGCAGGATATCCGAAGGCTTAATGGGCCTGAAATAAAGCAGGAGGGACCCCAATAAGCAAAGAATGGCCAGGAAGGCCCCCGTGAAGGGCAAACTAACCCAACTGCGGTAGAGAGTGGAGGCACCCCCACGGAACAGGCAGGAACCGATCTAGGATGGGGGGCTGACCACACCTGCCAGCCCCCCCAGAATGAGTGGCCTCAGACAGCGGGACGGGGCCCTACTTGGCCAAGGGACGACGCGCCCGGTTCACTGCCTCAAGGTCTGCATAGCGCAGGTCCAGCTGGCAGCCCACCAGCACGATGGGGGTACGTGGGCAGAAGTGCTTGATTTCTGGGTACCACATGGTCTTCACGTGCCGCAGTGAGTTGGGGTTGGCCAAGGAGAAGCAGAGCACCACCACATCAGATCTGTCAAGGAAAAGGGGGGAGGAGGGATAGCATCAGGCAGGGAACCTTCCCCCTTAGTTGCAGAGGCGACCCCTGGGCCCACCAGACCTTGAGAGAGAGAGGCAGGGGCTACAAAGAGCCACCCTGAGGGCCCACAACCCAAGGCCAAGATGGAGGGCTGGCTCTACTCCTCCACAGCGTCCCAGCAGCGCCCCAGAGCCCTCTTCTTTCCAGAGCCCCGCCTGTGCAGCCCCCTCCCACCCAGAGGCTGCATAGGCCACTTGACTGCTCCCTCTCAAACCCTGGACAGTGCAGGGCACATGCAGCTGAGCCCCTCCTGCATGGCCTCCAACAGAGAACACACCTCCCATCCCCCAGAACAGGGAAGCATCTCCCACTGCTGGAAGGGCTCCAGAGACTTCCAGGAAACGGACTGGGCGAGGGGAGGGCCCTGCCAGGGCTGAGCAGCTGAAGGGACAGCTGCCTTGCTGCCTCCTGGAGGAGGAAGGAGGCAACCCAAGAGCGGCTGCTAGCAGGACCGGGAGAGCAGCGGCCCCATACCGGACAGGGCCAGCGGGAAGCGGACCGTCCCGGTAGGAGTGGCACCCGCCGCCCTCACCTGCCATAGGCGAAGCGCCGGTCCTTGTGGTGGTCCCCGAAGGTGTCCCAGAGGCGCAGGGAGATGCTGACCTCGTCCACCACGTCGCGGGAGCGCTCCAGCACCTGGGCAGCGCCGAGGCGTCAGAAGGCGGGCCGGACCGGGCGGGGACCCTCCGCCCGCCCGCCCCGGACCGCCGGCTCACCTCCTGGCAGACGCGGTACTGGTCGATGGCCCAGACGGTGGGCACGTGGGTGGCCAGCAGCTGGTACTGGCTGAGCGTGGCGTTGCAGGCCCGCGCGCAGATGAGCCGCGTCTTGCCCACCGCGTTGTCGCCCACCACCACGCACTTGATGGTCTCGACGTTGGGGCGCTCGTAGTCCAGGTCAATATCCATGGGGGCGCCGCCGTCGCTGCGGGGGAAGGCCGGGATCAGGGCGGGGAGGGCGCGGCCGGCCCGCCCAGCGGAGTTGCGCCTTTACGGGCTCCGGGGGGCCGGCCGAGGCCCTTCCCCGCCCCGGGTGGCGCCGGCGTCCCGGGCGCCGCAGCCCTTCGCCTCCCCGGGCCTCTCGGCCGGCAGCCGCCGCCGCGTTCCCCGGCCACGCTCCCCGGCCGCCGCGCCCATCTCCCCGCCGCCGCCTCCCGTCCGGCTGCCCCGCGGCGCCGCCCCGCCAATGGGCGCCCGGCCGCGCCCCCTCCGCCCGAACAAAGGAGGCGGCGGGGGGCCCGCGCGTCGCAGCGCCACCGGCCCCGCCCCCGAACCGCCCCCCACGTGACGGGCCCCCGCGGGCGGGGCTAGGAGGGGCCGCGAAAACAGCCGAGCGCGGCGCCGCTGGCCGAGCCGGAGGCTTCGGAAGGTCCCGGCGGCAGCGCGTACCTTGCTCGGGCTCGGATCGCTTTGCAGCCGCGCCGCGAGACAAAGGGGGGTGCGTCGGACGGAGGGCGCTCTGCACATGGTCTTGGGCACGTCGGTCGTCCGTAGTTCTTCCCCGCGAAAGCCCGCCCGGCGGAGAGCGCCCAGGCGGCCCCGCGGCCTCATGCCACGCGGGCTGCAACGGAGAGGAGAGCGCCGCCTTCAGGCCACCGCTGGGCCCCCCGCCCCCTCCCCGCGGTACCGGAGCTACGGACGGCGGCTCAACCCGCGCGGAGCCCCCGCTTCGGCACGCCCCCGGTCGGGCCGTCCACCCCGCACCCCTTCACCTTCGCTCCGGCCCCGTCCGGACCCCCGTCCGGGCTCTGCGTGACGGGACTGGGCGCGTCCGCCCCGCTGGCTTCGACGCGGCCCTTCGGCTTCCACTCCGCGGCGCTCCTGGTGTCTCGGGGCGGAGGCAGCGCTGCGCCCGACCCCTCCAGGCGGGCCTTCCGACGGGCGGGGCGCAGAGCTGGCCCTGGTCACGCTCCGATTGCCCTGGAGCCCCCAAGCCGGCGGGAGGGGCGCGGATACCAGGTTTTTTCCCCGGCGGGAACCCGGGAGGAACGGCGCGATTTTGGCGTCTCCTTCTCCGGCCCGGAGGGGAGCGCAACCGCCTCACCCGCGCAACCGTTCAGCTTGCCGGGCCTGCCCGATGAGCTCCGCGGCTCCGGGTCTGAGCGCGGCCGAGGATTTGGCCGCTGTTGGATGGGGAGCCGGGTGGGGGGGTCGTTCCTTGGAGCCCTGCGCACTGGCCGGCCGACGGGAGATTGGGCTGGGCGGGCGGGCGGGCGGCGAGCCAGGAGGAGAGCATTGGGGTTTCTTGGACGGCGTCCCCAACACGAGTTTCCCCAGGATTGTTAACAAACAAAACCTGAACAAGCCAAGCTGCGGTTTTGCCTCCTTTTTGAGAAGCCCAAAGTGTATTAAGAGCAAGGGGTTGCTGGGAACCCCCCTTTGCAAGTGTCCCATGTTGTTTTTAAATCTGAAAGCCAAAACAGCCAGCCGCCCAAATGGAGCCCAGCCTGGAGTTGGGGGGGGGCTCTCCAGGGCCAGGCTTTCCTAGTCCAAGCAAGCAACTGGATCCATCGGAGAGCCTGAATAATCCTCAGCAGCTCAAGAGGCGGTCTGAGGGGCCCACCCTGCCCCCTGGGGACGGGGCTCCCCTAAGCAGCTGCTGGCCGCTATCAACAGGGGCAACGAGGGTGAAGGAATGCAGATGTTCTGCCACCCTTGCTGCCCCCAGGCTGGGCTTCGTCCAGTCAGAGCCGCTCTGAGCCTCCCTCCAGTGGCTTCAGGGATCTCTGCTGGGCCTGCCTCCTCTCCCGGAGCCCATCAGTAACTAAGCCAAGGCACACCCCGGATCAGCATACAGAGGGAGTCCGCATAGGAGCGATGCAGTCCAAGACCCCAGCCCCCCCCCCATTCCAGCAAAAAAAAAAAACTCCCTCTGGAAGCCTAATGGGTCCCTCAAGTGCTCGGGAGGGCCCATCAAAGGGCCCGACTCCCTGCTGGAGGAGGGAGGTGAGGGGGGTGCCGAGAGGGCTCTGTCCAGGGCAGCAGGACAATGTCAATGGCCTCCGCTGCCAGATGGCATCTCGACACCCCCCCCCCAGGCCTGGCGTGTGTTCGGCCATCAATGAGACGGAACATGTCCTTGGTTGCCCCGGAGGCATGAACTCCTGAGACGCCCCAGATTCGGCCTCTTTGCTTTATTTTACTTTACTCTGCAGAACAAAGTTTGATAAACAAGTTTACCTGTAGCAATTGCTTTATTTCTCATGCCTGCATTGGGCCTTGCAGAATACAGAATAGAATACAGAATAAGAATTGGAAGGGAACCTAGAGGTCTTCTAGTCCCGCTCAAGCAGAAGATCCTGAACCATTCCAGACAAATGGCTGCCCTGTCTCTTAAAAGCCTCCAGTGATGGAGCATCCACAACTTCTGAAGGAGGACAAGCTGATTAATTGTTCCCACTGTCAGGAAGTTTCTCCTTAGTTCTAGGTTGCTTCTCTCCTTGATTAGTTTCCATCCTTGTTGCTTCTTCTCCTGCCTTCAGGCACTTTGAAAAATAGCTTGACTCCCTCTTCTTTGGGGCAGTCCCCTCAAACACCGGAATACTGCTATCATGTCACACACACACCCCGATCCTTCTCTTCCTTAGGCTGGACATGGCCAGTTCCTGCAACTGTTCTTCATATGCTTTATCCTCCAATTATTTCTGTTGCTCTTCTCTGCACTTGTTCTGGGTTCTTCTCTCTCTCTCTACGGAGAAGAGGCACATAAAGCAACTTGTTCTAAGACCTGTTTGGTATCTGTGTTTGGCCACAAGGCAGTCACGCCCAGACAACGGCCTTTCCCTCACCCTGACTTTGCCATCCTCCCCAGTCTGGGAGTGAACCGGCTTCGAATCATCGGGATCTGTGCCCTTTTACACTTGTGATCTGCTGTCCTCGTTCAGGGTTTGCTTCATTGGTTCCCGCGTTTTCTGCAGGAAAGAGCTGACATTGGTGCCGTTCCATTGTAGCCATATTCTGAAACGGGCAGCCCTGTTTTCCTGACCAGGAAAGGAGGAGGGTTGCTTTTTCCTCTGGGTTTCCTTAATATTTGTGGCTTTCGGGGCCCACTTGGGCCAGAGATGGGGCTGCCCAGTGGTTTCAGGGCTTCTGTCTGCAGAGCTCAGCTGTTGTGTGGCCAGGCGAGGTCTTTGTGCTTTTCTCTCCCCTAAATTTAACTTGAGGGATGCCAATCCAAGTGGGCATCCCGCCCAGGGGAGGGAGGAGGAGGGGGGGCAGCCAGACCAGCCTAGAGATGGCCAGGCAGTGTCCTGTGTCCTGACATCTGACCCTCCCTGGCCCCACTGTCTGGTCTGGATGGTTGGAGGGGGCTAGTGGTGGGCAGTAAAGCCAGAGGAGTGTCCCAATGCTTCCCCAGGGTGACTGGCACACTCAGGTTGGCAGGGACCTGGATCAGCAGCAGGCAGAGGAGCTGGCAGTGGGGAGAGCCTGGTTTTGTGCTGACAAGGGCAGATGAAGAGCGAGGGGGGGGAGGTTCTGGTGGAGAAGGTCTGGCTAATGTGCTGCCAACGGGTAGGGCGATCCAGCCAGCCATGTGGGGCAGGGAGGGACAACGCCTGCCCGCTGTCCATGGCGCCAGCTGGGGTGCAGTCCTGATGCCTTCGCCCACTTGCCCTCATTTTGCACCCCTCCCCCTTCCGTCCCAGCCATGCAGCCTTCAGCAGCTGCTCTCCCTCTTGCTGTGAATCAGCCTTGGCCCTCTTTCCTGCTCCTTTGGGATCCAAATGTGGTTGGGCTGCCCCTGTTCTGCAGCGGGGTCTGCCCAAATAATGCCCGGCTGGCGATTTCCATCTGGCTCGTCAAGTCTTCAGTGGGCTTCTTCCAAGCTTAGGGCCCTTCGGAAAAAGAGCAAGCACTCCACGGCTGGCAGCTGGATTTCCACGGGCAAGCAAATCGAGTTCTGCCAGCTGTGTCACCACTGGGGGCATTGCTGGATGAGGGTTTTTGATGGCCTTGCTTTTTAATATTTTTTATTATTTCTGTGAATGTATTAAATCTTCATGAATTTGTAGACAACCACTAGATGTCAACTCCAGCAGAAGGCTAAGGCTACTTTTATTGAGATCAGTTGTAATAATTAAATCTTCTGATTGTGTTGGTCCCCCCCTCCTTCAAGAGGCATCTGTTGGAGCCTAGAGGGGGAGGGGCGGGGAGCCTGCCTTCCTCTGCCCTCCCAGCTGCCTAATGACACCAAGGGAGGCTGAGGAACCTCTTCCACAAAAATGGCTCTGAGCCATCAAGAGCATTGTCATCGATGCTGAAACGGGCTGCCTGCCCACCAGGCTCTGTGACTGTGGACTAACCCAGAACTATTTTACCTCTGGCGATAAAACGTTGCTGCAACTGGCACAACTTCTTTGATGGCTCCTAAATACATCAACATCTCCCTGGTTGGTCTAGAATGGGTAGGCCACCTTGGCTCTTGTATAACTCGTGGACTTCAACTCCCAGAATCCCTGAGCCAGCCACGCTGAGGGGAAAGGGAGAGTTTCCAAGCTGAGCCAGGCTGGCTCAGGAATTCTGGGAGTTGAAGTCCACGAGTCATAAAAGAGCCCAGGTTGCCTACCCCTGGTCTAGAATAAGAACTCTTGCTCCCTGGAGCTGCTCCTTCATTGATGACATTTTCATCAGCCATGTACTCCCCGGGAAATGAATTTCTTATCGAATTCCATTACAACATCAACAGTTTCCACCATCAACTTCAGTCTGGGCCTGTGTTTCTCAGCCTTGGCAACTTCAAGACATATGGAATCTGGCTAGGGAATTCTGGGAGTTGGTCCATATGTTGAGAACCACTGGTCTAGAGCTACCTAAGGACAAATCCACTTCCCTGACATCACTGTAAATCTATTTCTAATGGACCCATCAACCTTGTGTCATGCAGAAAATCCACAGATCGCCCTGCGTTCCATATTCCTCCTAGAGCACAATCCCCAACCCCCCCCCCCAAATCCACAGCCAGGCTCTGCCCCCATTCTGGCATACTTGACACAGATGCACATCTGATGGAATTAAACCAGGCAGACTGATGCCCAACGACACCATCAATAGACGAATCAATAGAGTCCGATCAATAGTCCGATCGATTCCCAGGGAGGACATATTAAAAGACGGACCGTAGAAACAACAGAACATCACCCACAGTTCTCAACTCATGACCCACAAGCCATCCTGGATAACTATACTGCACTTTCTCTGGCCTTAGGCCAGAAGCGCCTCCCCCCCCACCCCGAATTCAGGCAAGCACCCAACGCGCAGTGGCTTCTGATAAGCATCAGGGAAGAACAAGAGAGGCTAACGTGGGAGCCAGACAACAAACTCAGGTTTCAACTGCACGCTGCCCTCCAGGGGCTTCCAAAGGGCTGGGCGGGGCTGGGCTGCCCGCGGCTTCCTATTCCCTCAGGTCTGAAGCAGCGGCGGCCCCGACCGGGCCTGGGGGTGCTTGCCTGGCCCTTCGGCAAGGCCCCCGCCCGGGCAGGCAGCAGGATCCCGCCCTCCGCCGAGGGGCCGTTTCCTGAGGGCGGGATCAGCGCTCGCAGTTCGCGCGGGGCCTCCGTCGGGCGAGACGGCGCCGGGAGCGCCTCCCTCCCCCCCCGCTCTCCTCGCCTCCTCCTCCTCCTCCTCCGGTCGGTGGGGAAAGTGGAAGCTTCAGGGCACCTGCTGTCTTGACTCCCTTGTGACCCTAGAGGGCGCTCCCAACCTGGCAAAGGGAGAGAGAAGCCCCACAACTCCCCCCTCCCCCGCCCCTTTTAATGGACGGTGCGGCCAATGGCCAGGGCCATCCGGCCCCCAGGACCCAGGGAGGCGGAGCCTGGATTTGGCAGGGCAGACAAGGGTGCGGGGGGGGGCAGCTGTGCTGGCTCTCCTAA